TTCTTTGAGTATAAGTTACGTAGCGCGAACACATCTTTATCATAGGATCATCCGGTCGATAAATCAATACGGTCGATTTCTTCGTAAATAAACAATAGATAGCAGCACTCACACACATATTGACTCGCGGAATGACGAAAAGAAGTTGTTCCGTCGTCTTTTTAATGATCGAACCATCCTTGCCATCTTATAATAAAAATCGCGCTCTGCATTATCAGCGCCATTGCTATTTCTTTACAGCGAATTTGCAAAACCGTTATTTATCCGAATTTCAAGATAAATGGACTTACGCTTAAATGGCTCTCGAGCCCTTAAATAACTGGTTATTACATTCTATGCTATTGTAGACAATTGTGTAGAATTACTATTATAGACTTACGCTTAAATGGCTCTCGAACCCTTAAATAACTAGTTATTACATTCTATACTATTGTAGACAATTGTGTAGAATTCCTACTACAGACTTACGCTTAAATGGCTCTCGAGCCCTTAAATAATTAGTTATTACATTCTATACTATTGTAGACAATTGTGTAAAATTATGCATTTATTAATGCAATTATAAAATAAATATTAGCTCCGAAGTAAAAATGGCCCGTGGCACGATGGCCCAAGAAGTGCGCACAAATGAAAAGTCTTGTACTATTTCGCGGCATCGAGATAAGACGGACGAGTGAGATGAGGAGATGAGATGATAAAAGACTATAAGGAAGCCTAAGCTGCCTACACACAATCGTGCTGGGGATCTACTAAATGGACCGATATCGCTCGGGTACAATACGATTTTATTTATTCAAACTCGCTGGGAGAAGAGACCATTACAGTAACCTATGATCTGAGATAATAGGACCCGACTTCGCCCCCACCCCGTGCCCTTATCGCTAAACTTGAACTCCAATTTCGACCCGAACGTCCAGTCGACCTTGGAAAATCAGTCTATCTACGTCTCCGTTCTTACAACCATAAGTTAGAGCTATAATCGTGATTCGTGTAACAGAGGCTCGGCCAACAAACAAGCTTTTGCTCGTAAAACAGTGTTACCGAAGCTGTAACTGCAATCGGAGGTCAAAGTGAAACCGCAATTTGGATGTTAGAACACGATTGTGGCGTCGGGGTGCAATTCCTGCTGCGATCGGGGTGCAACCGCGATCGAGAGTGCGATAATGCAACTTCGATTGCAATCAGAAGTAATGGTGTAATTTTGGCTGCAATCGAGAGACGACAGTGCAACTCGGACTGCGATCGAGGACCGATAGTCCAAGCAATTGCTAACGATAACGCGAAGCCAGCTGTAATTGCTGGGACAACAGTGCAACTGCAATCGGGGATGTCGAAGAAAAATCCGCTAAATGAAAGGGAACTAGAAATTCGGAAATGTTCGGAGAATTATGCTGTCGATTCTCGCGGTACCGAAGGCTGCCGCGAAGCCGTCAGAACAAGACACCGAATAGTTCTCTGCCGAAACGGGGCCTATGAATCACCGAGTCGGTTTAGTGCCGTGTCTGTGCAGCTGTGTTCTGAGCTGCACTCGAAAAACCCGATTCCAGTGATTTCTGCGCAAGCGAACCTGGGTATTCCCCTCGGTCCACCGTGGCGGGAGGATCCAGGGAGGATCTCGGAGAGTGGGAGCCGCGGATCCTCGCTCTCCCATGTCACTCTCACCGTGCACCGCGCTTGCATTCTGCCGATATATATCGATCAGACGGCGGCGACCGGCTGGTCAGTCGCGAATCCATACTGTTCGTATTCGGTGGTCAAGTTCCTAGATAAAACGGACGGCGGATCGACGCGAAAACAATATACACACATATAAAAGTAGTGCGGTACGGTGCAAGGAGAGACGGAGAGAAAAAGAGAGAAGAGAGCGAGCGAGAGAGAGAGGGCTGGAGGGAGAGAGAAACGAAGACGGAAGAGACATATCATACAGGGGACATTCGCCACGGTTTCGCCGCGCTGCGCGCCGGTTCAGTCACACTGCGTCACTCGGCCGAGCGACTTCGCGCGGCCCTTCTTCATTTTCCGAGAGAACGGGTCGCCTCTGTTTCCCTCGTTTTCTCTTCTTTAATTACGTTAATCCCCGTCTCGTGATACCCGGTGCACCACGACAGATCGGTACCCGCCCCCGCGCCAGATCGGTAAACGTCGATCGTTTGCTTGGTGACAAAGACCTCTCGAAGGCGGCCGACGATTTTCCGACGAGCTCTGCTGCAGGGCCCACGTGAACCGACCGATCGGGACCTACTGACGAGTAAGTTTCATCAGCCTCGAGCTGGAACCCCTCCCCCGATTACCCTGGATCATCGAGCCGGTACCGCGCGCTCATCGATCACGTGGCGATCTACACGCGTACAGCCGCCTGGATCCCCGTGATCCAGCGCGCCTCGAGATTGTCGGCTTCGCGAAATCGTTTTAAGGAAGACCAGCTACGATGCCCACTGTGACAACTGCTCGCTCGGTTTTCGTTGTCAATGCTGTACGAATTTTGGCGGATCGAATGGTCGAATCTCTGCTTTCGCTCCGCGAGAACGTCTAATGCGTTCGCTACCGTTTATCGTTAATAGTTAAGAAATTTTACGTATCGTTGACATTTGAGTAACATTTGATGTCTTAATAGATATACCTTTTATTCGATTAAATTAATTTAATTAATAAATTAATTTTTCGATTGAAGTACGTATTACTGTGAAGCATATAACGTATTGTTTATATTGGTTTATTTAGCGCATACGATAAACGAAAAAAGATACAGAACGAATTGAAAGAAATAGAAAATTATAGGAATATCAAGGAAGAAAATTAATATTTTCTCGTTGACATAACAGAAATTTTTGTTCTATATTAAGAAGATTTACTACACCCATGAGTATGCATGTTTCTCAATTTTTGTCGGTACATGTGACATCCATTTTATTGGTGGTCGATTTAGCGGGGTTTGGGTCCGTTTCGACCCCGAGTATAAATATTGTTGACTGTGCAGATTCTGACAATTCATTAAAATTTTCAGATGTTTCGTTAAGGTCCTTAAATGTACCTTAAAAGTTCGTTCTGCATGAAATTGATAAGTAATATTATAACTGATCCTAAGCTATGTTATGTTTCCTCAAAATAGTCCACCGTCTGAATATTAAAGTCATAGTACTTTAATTCAAGAATATAACTTTATACATAACTTTCGTTTATTACGTTATTTGTCTGCTCATAAAGGAGCTGTGTTGCATTCAATAAAATATTGTAATGATTGAGACAGTCGACAAGAAAAATTATGGTAGCGAACGTGTTAAACCGATTCTTACGCGGCAACTTATTTGTTGTAGTTCCCTTAAAAATTTGTAGTGTTGTGAGAGTATCGCAGAATTGCTCCGTGTGACCATTCTTTGAGCACTATTGAACCAATTTGTAGTCTCATTTATACAGAGAATCTTAACACTTGGTGCTAGATCGTGATTAGATTTTTCCGGTGACAGTGAAGTAGATCCTTGATTATCCGAACCAATGACAGCAGATTTGCTATAGTTCCCTTGACAGTAACTTCCGCTCTTCTGAAAGTATTATAGCCTCGAAGCAAAGATTTGTGCAAATACACTTTTCTCTCCTCGATCGAGCTGGTATCGTTATTGATTTTGCACTAATAATTACAATAGAACTGTAACAATCACTTAGGTACACATTAAATCGCCACAGGTTTGTGCAGCAGATAGCATTGATGTTTACGCGTAAAACGTGTTCGGATAATCGAGGTTTTACACAAGACAGAGTATTTCGGAATAATTGTAGTAATCTTCAACCGTTGTAAATAGTTTCGCAAAGTTGTGTATAGGACTTTGATCGAATCGAACGATGCAGTTAACATAAAAGAGAGGAAACACTTTGGACAGTTGACATAACGATTTGTTAACACTTTTTTTTTTACCGAAAGCCTGGAGTGTTCCAATAGCCCTTTTAAAATCGAAGATCGACAGCTTTGAATTTCTGAGAAAATGGTGCAACAAATTATTTCGACTGATATGACGCAACTATTCCTTGAGGAATTATTATTCAATTCGTCGATGAGAAAACGTAAACACACAGTTAAGTCAGATTATTCAAAAATTTCATAATATTCTGACTACAAATATCACAGCGATTAACGCGTGTTGTTTTATAAGAACGAGAAAGCTGTATTCATTTAAACCTTTCGCAATTTTTAGTGCCATCGATGCTTGAATTAACAAATTGATTGAATCATTTTCCATGAAAGAGCTTTTATAGCTTCAACAATGTTAAAATAAATCATGCGAGGGCGAACGTTTTAACGGCCATGTTACTGTCAAGTACGAACATTGTTAAGAATATGAAAATTGCTTCAAACGGTCGAACAAATAGGCTACTTTTAATTACAATACTTGTATTTGTTTCGAACACAATTGCTAAAATGAGTACGTTATTAACACTTTGACTGCCGCAATTATTTGACGAAATTATTATTATTATTATTATTATTATTATTATTATTATTATTACTATTATTATTATTACTACTATTATTATTATTATTGGTAATGAAATTATTTGAAATTTCATTTCTATGCTAATCCATAAAAATTTCGTAATTTTATTAAGATTCGCGATAGGTAAGAATGTTGAAATAGTAATCGATGTCACATAACTTTGCTTCGCAAGTTTAATTTCATTGATCAAAATACTTTAATTCTATGAAATTTTAAGATATTTTCGGCGCGGTCGTCAATGTGTTAACACGTCTAGAATCAAATTCTATTCTTATCAATGTTCTGACCTGATGAAAAATCGTGCTTAGAATAAAAATTACGCTTTCGAATAAACGACAAGGCTTTCGGTAAACAAAGTGCTCCACAGTCTCCTATGCGAGCTCCGTGAAACAACGATATCCCCCGGTTCCGATTAACGCGTTTTCTTTTTCTGACGTTGACACTCGCGTCGCGACAGCCATTCGCCAGCGGACGTTTCTGTTTTGTTGTCGAACAACCCCTTGGTCGGTTTAGAAGCGAGCGGAAACCGCTTGGACCACCCGACCAGCCATGAACGGGATCACGAAGATCATGGATAACAACTTTTACGACGACGAGAATGACCGCGCGATGATGATCAAAAAGCCCGGCCCATTGAGGACCATCTCCTGGTCGGAGAGCGTCGAGGAGACCAACCTGGATGTACCGGGGACCCCGAGGACGCCTCGTACATCCACCACCCCAGGTATCACAGATTATGCGAATACTAAAAGTGCTTTACACACTCGGCTCTTCGACGTTATCCTTTTGATTTCCCAAAGTCGGCCTCTCAAACGATCGGGCAAGGTTTTTAGTGGTCAAGGACGTTTTTGCCAAGGCTTTCGACGACGAATACCTTGATCACCGTGCTGTTAGAGACACTACAATGACCTATAAAAGCGATCCTACACACTGATCGAGTTGATCGCATGCAATTCTGCTGGTTCTCTTTATCGGTGTTGTTGGACACAGTGAAAGTAAGTTCGTAAATAGCATGGATGATAAAGAACTTTGCTTTCGTTGCATGCAGTTGATACGATGAGACATATAATGTAGAGGTTTGCCTTTGTGTAGGAACACTTTCGTGGACACGCGAGTGGAGGTTAATTCGTTTTTCTTTTCTCTTCTTTTTTTTACGTTATCTTTCCTTCGTAATCGAACGAAGAAGTTCCGACAAGAGATTGTTGTTGTATGCTTCGCTCGTGTTCGCTATCGTGTAATAATTTTCTCGTATCCACGAGGAGGATGTTACTGAAGCCGGTTAAAATTGCCGATTGTAAACAGAGAAATGAACATTCTACCAGATGATTGTATCACCCGGCGGCTACGGAACTTCGTAAAACCGTAGCAATTTATGCAAACAATGCAGCGACTGGGAAGCCAATATTTATGACATCATCGATTCTTTTTTGATATTTTTGCATCAATCTCTTCGCTGTATCGGTGCAGAAATTGAGTATTATGCTTGAGCAAATGAAACGAAAGTGTTCTACTCAATTGAACGAAAATTGCAAAGTAGAGCTGTGCGACATCGATTACTTTTTCAACATTCTTACGCGTCGCGAATCTGAACGAAATCAGGATATTATAGTAAATAAATCCGTCGCCCGTGTGCATCGATGACGCGACGGTCAAAGCGCGAAGGGATAATGCCAAAAGCACATTTCGATCGGCTGATTATGCTGTCGAGGGTGAGTTGGTTGATTCGCGAATGAAATCACCGCCGCAAAAATCCCGCAAAATCCTGAATCTCTCTCTTTCTCTTATTAAACGATCGTTGACAGGCGATTCTACTATAATCGGAGGTTCGTTTTAGATCTGAATTTCGGAACGTATCCGCCCGCTTTATTCGTGGTTCGCCTAATTGTTCCCGCGAGAGGCACTCCGCGCGGCCGAATAGTAACGATCGCACGCATTCGGCCGACCTTTTTAATGAAATTTCGTGCAGCGTGTCGCTATCATTGGATCAAGCTCGCGGCCCGTGACAAAGTTTTCGAGAGCGCTCTCTTTCTCTCGCCGTAGTTCTCGTTTCCGGGTCAATCGTACCCGCTGATCTCAAAATGATAAAAACCCTGGGAACTGTCGGGGTACAGTTACGAGATCCTGTGTGTAACGCGTAACTGTAATGCCACGAATGCGTACAATCGTCGTCGTAGCATGACTATCGACTTTCTGCGGAAGAACGACTCTTCTTTTATTTCGGTGGATAACACAGGGGAAAATTCCGGCACACCTGTCGCAACCTGCAGACACCGTTTTGGAAAACGCTCGACGGATTACCGTCGGTCACGATCTTTCCCTTTCTATTGATTTGTTTCTTCAATTTCGATTCCGCGATTTCGTCGGCTGTCCACTTTTTGATCGATCGTGAACGCTGTACATCTATCGGAAATAGTTCGATAGATTACGTTGACGCATTTTTATCAAGGGTCGAACGAATCTATTAAATGTTCTATTCGATAACTGCGGCGTTTATGAGTTTACGACGAAAATTCATAGGAGAAATATAAAACGATCATTTAAAGATGTTGTAACGTAGAGACCGTAAATTGGATATTTTTCTTTTGCACGAAAGTATTTCGCATCGATTGCAAGAGCCAAGGATTTGGTAGAAATTAATCGTTTCTCTTAGTTATTTTAGTTAATTCCGTGGTAATTGCTTAGCGATTATTCCGTTTTACCGTTTACTGTTCTCTGTTTTGTTTCGAGGTAGAACACTTTTACTTTGACTCTTCTTTCCGTCGTTCATGCACCACGTCGGATGCATCTATAAGTCAATTAATAGACATCCTGCAACTAATTGGGTCGATATACGTTATACAATATGCTAACAAAAATTCAATTGATAAAAATGCCGTGATTCAATTACTGTTACATGTAAATAATACAGCAAATTCTCCCTAATTGACGCTCAGATTGTGCGTAAAAATGGACAATAACCTTGACAATCGGTAACTGTAAAAATAATCGTATCTCCTCTTACCAAATTGTCTATTTTTCTGCACAATCCGAGCGCCAATTAGGGAGAACTTCATTGCGCGAAGTGGGTGTTACATCCGATTCATATAGATCGCAGCATCGAGCAGCTGAGACATAATAATCCAGCTTGGAGATGGTACTTTCGAGGACGCGAAATCCAAAGCCAAAGAGGAGTTTCCAAGCTGGCGGCAATTTAGATCGCAGAACCGTAATTTTCCAACAATCGATCGCTAATCGTTCGCGTTCGCGCGTCCATGGCGGACGCAGAACAGAAATCCTCGATAGCCTGGCGTCGTGAACGTCGTTACCCGATCGAATTACGCGATACGGTTCATTAGCGAGCGATGTCTTAACTTAGTTCCCCGTCTCAGTGAATGCGCCAGTTCCGAGCCTGGATCCTCGATCCTCGCGAATAAATCTTTGCTGAAGTCTCTCTTTCACGCCTGTTAACACGGTTTAGATCGAGACCCTGTCTTCGCCGGATCGAGATCACTGTCGTTAATACAAGCGTCGACGACTTATTTGCTACGTCGTGACGTGACGGGAGTCTGTGACATTTGTAGAACCCAACGTTAATCGTTATGCAACAGGTTCGACAGCGGACCAGACCATCGAATTTGTAATTCATGCGGATCGTGGCTCGGAGCACGTGATTTGAAATATTATTTCGAATAACACGTTACAGTAAATTCCCCCTAATTTTCCCTTCAGCTTGTAGACAAAAATGGACGATTTTGGAAGAGGAGACACGATTAATCGGGCCTTGCACCTCGTTTTTATAATTGTTGACAATCGGCAACTATAAAAACGAGCCACGAGGCCTCGAATAATCGTAACTCCTTTTTCCAAATTGTCCATTTTTGTTTACAAGCTGTGGTCACTTTCGAAGTAACAATGCTTTAAATATTATTTTAACACTAGAACTACCAAACCAGTCGAAACGACCGGTTTCTGATTTTTTCTTTTATAGCTCCTGATATTATAAAAATACTTCTTTCTATACTGTAAAGATCCTTCTAGACGTCTAAAAAATCTCCCCCAAAAAGATCTTGGCGCAATTTTAGAACGAACATCGACGGAAATCGCTGCAACTGAACTGCACTTTTCTGCTGCAGGATACAACGATTGGATTAAGGATGTTCGCGTACATTTTCTCTGAAAAGAAGCGTTTTCTCTGCAGTCCCGTTGGCGACTAGCGGACTGGCTCCATGGGGAAATTCATACTTCCATAAGCTACGTCACAGAACGTAGAATGCGTAATTTCGNACGCCTGTTAACACGGTTTAGATCGAGACCCTGTCTTCGCCGGATCGAGATCACTGTCGTTAATACAAGCGTCGACGACTTATTTGCTACGTCGTGACGTGACGGGAGTCTGTGACATTTGTAGAACCCAACGTTAATCGTTATGCAACAGGTTCGACAGCGGACCAGACCATCGAATTTGTAATTCATGCGGATCGTGGCTCGGAGCACGTGATTTGAAATATTATTTCGAATAACACGTTACAGTAAATTCCCCCTAATTTTCCCTTCAGCTTGTAGACAAAAATGGACGATTTTGGAAGAGGAGACACGATTAATCGGGCCTTGCACCTCGTTTTTATAATTGTTGACAATCGGCAACTATAAAAACGAGCCACGAGGCCTCGAATAATCGTAACTCCTTTTTCCAAATTGTCCATTTTTGTTTACAAGCTGTGGTCACTTTCGAAGTAACAATGCTTTAAATATTATTTTAACACTAGAACTACCAAACCAGTCGAAACGACCGGTTTCTGATTTTTTCTTTTATAGCTCCTGATATTATAAAAATACTTCTTTCTATACTGTAAAGATCCTTCTAGACGTCTAAAAAATCTCCCCCAAAAAGATCTTGGCGCAATTTTAGAACGAACATCGACGGAAATCGCTGCAACTGAACTGCACTTTTCTGCTGCAGGATACAACGATTGGATTAAGGATGTTCGCGTACATTTTCTCTGAAAAGAAGCGTTTTCTCTGCAGTCCCGTTGGCGACTAGCGGACTGGCTCCATGGGGAAATTCATACTTCCATAAGCTACGTCACAGAACGTAGAATGCGTAATTTCGTTTCGTCTGTTACAAAATTTCCTTTACGTCGAAGTAAAACACACAGATACGATCGATCGTCTTGTAAATCAACGACCAAGGGTCGTCCAATTGATCGTTCAACGACCAATCCGCTGTGCAACGTGGAAAGACAATCGGGAGAAAGTGTTTATTATTTCAACGGCATCGTTGCGCAATTAAGACAATTATAAAACGCGCGTTATCGTGACCGGTGTAATTGCGGAATGCGATAGAGTCCGAACGCTTCCGAACAGTTTCGAATGCATCGCTAATTAGAAGCGCATCGATCGAGTTTTTCGGCTGTAATCTGCTGACAGTGGATTCCGCGTTTGTTTAGAAACGGTCCGCGAAAGATAAAAATACCTACGTTCGAAGACTTTATCGGCGTTTTCGAGGAAAAAGAATGAGAAAAGGAACGCGATGATTTTCATTACCACACGCAGACAGATTTCTGGTTATCGCGGGTCATTGCAGTCGACGATAGCGTTTGTTAATGTTAATAACATCGTCTGGCTCGTTTCAAATTGAATAATCAGAATGGATTTCGAAAAGAAATCATCGCCAATTTAAAAGACCAATGAATTTAACACTTCGACTCGTGCCAGCGAATCTAATAATACTCCACGCGAGATAAGTTTGAAATGTTTTGGATCTTTTCACGGTTTTAAGTTCTGTCTAACTCATTCATAGCGTAAATCCATCAAATCCGCTGTTTGCTCATAGAGTTTTCTGACGAAATTTTCGAAATGAAGAAAGATGTACGGGATGCTTCAGCCTTTTCTTTGCTCGTTTTACAGGCCACGAGAAATGCACGTTCCATCACGATCTGGAGTTGGATCACAGGCCGCCAACGCGGGAAGCCCTTCTACCGGAAATGTCACGGAGTTACAGGCTACTCTTGAGCTCCCTAGGAGAAGATCCTGATCGGCAAGGCCTTTTGAAAACCCCGGAACGTGCCGCGAAAGCTATGCTATTCTTCACGAAAGGCTACGATCAGAGTGTCGAAGGTGCGTCATTGTCGTATCACATTTTTCTCCGTGCGATAAGGATTGAGTGTGGCTAACACAATAACGGTGATGGGGTGGAATTTCATTCGTTCGATTGAGCCAACGATTGCATAGGATTAACACGACGAATTATATTGCGAACTTGTAATAAAAGTCAGCAGACTAACTGCAAACAGCGAAAGTATCTAGAGAATTGATCAATGCTACATTATTGTCAACTCATAGAAATGATTAAAAAACTAGAGGTCTAAGAGTGCACAAAAATATGCCAAAAAGAGTTTAAAGAGTTTAAAAATATTTCAAGAATTTTAGGCCTACTGTTGCATTATTTTCACATCGTTGAAATTATTAAGAAAATAATAAGAATCTCCACCCCCAAATAGTCTGACAAAGTTTTGCCTTCGTTTCATTTTGAGTGCACCCCGGTGTAGCCAGTATCCTACCTAACAAGGGTAGAATGCGAGAACGATGATAACAGTTGATAACAATCGATACAATGTCAGCGTAGAAAAGCGATAATGCTTGCATAATTGAGAGTGTCGTAAGCACCTGTTGCCACCGGAGGTGCAACGCGAATTACACGGGTTACGGTAAATCGTAATTATATGTAATTATGAGTGATCGATTATTCCTCGGGTGAGTCAGCTTGTAAAACTGCCGTAATTGAGCATTGTTACGCTTCTTCGCCGACGAATAACCTCGCCGCGGAGTTCTCGGTGAAATACGATTCACGCGATAATCGAGAATGAAGGATAGCGTTGCGTTTACGAACGATCTGAAAAGCGAGAGGCGTCGAATTTTCTTCGCGGCTATGCTCGAATGAAATATGAAACCGCGAGTAGCAGTCGTAGTAGACCCACTCGAGGAAAGTGGCGCACTTTTCGTTTTCTTCGGCTCTTCAACCGGCTCGAGGATCCGTCACGCGGCGAGAAGGAGAAAGATTTGAGAAAGAGAGATAACGAGAGAGCCAGATTGAGAAAAAAGAGAACGCCAAAGCTCGCGATATAAATGGGTCTCAGGGACGTGGAGCAGCCCGAGAAGAATACCTTTCACCTTTTCCTTCCATTTGTCGTCGACTAAGTACGACCGCCACCGTTCCGAAGTAATTATAAGCCCGCCGAACAAAATGGCGACGCTCGGGCAAGGTCCCTAACGAGTCGACTGTTCTCTCCTTTCGTTACGTCTTAACTATTCTAATTGCCCTCCCTGTTCAACGCCCGGAGCCTCTCGATGCCGTATCACGGCTCGATTAAAATTCCCTAAGCTGTTCGCATCGCCCCCCTCTGCCATTTTTATTCCAAAAGAGAATCTACGCTATTTTAACTAGCTTTCATTACGAGGCTTTCTATAGCGAAAAAAACGACAGGAACAGACTTTTATTTAATCGTAAATATTTAGTCGGAGATTTAGTTTGGGAATTTCAATTTTTATTCAAAGAGAATCCACCCTGTTCGAACGTTCAAAAATATTTCATCCCTTCTCGGACGATGAATTTATTTTATTTGACAATCTGCGCCTTGAAATGCATCAAATAAATCCTGAAACAATCTTCAAATAATGGAACAGTATTTACCGTATCTACTTTATTTTTAAATTATGGAACAATACGAACGTTGCGAGGGGGTGGAACGTGTTTTTAAAAAGAAGAGCGCAGGCGTTCCATTAGATTGATTATCTCATTTTTGAGAAAGAAGATTTTCTTCGGCGAGAGAAACGTAGAAGTTTCATTAAACGGATTATATTCGATTCATTTTCAATCTTCGCGAAAGAAAAATTTCTCGATAAACTGTATTTCGAGCAAGAAGAACATGGTCGAAAATGACCGGTTTCCGATTTCTTCTGTTACGATTCCTGATATTATAAAAATGTTTCTAAACGTTTAAATAACGAGGTTTGAATAAATCTAATCTCGCCATCGCCATAGAACAATGTACACCGGTCTCGTTAAGAGCTCGGTAGTTCTGCTGTTAATCAGATCGAAGCTTACGCTTGAGTTAGTTAAGAGAACGACGTGTTTACGTGCGGGATTCCGAGAGCCGGCTGTCCGCAATCGTTTTAAGTAGTCTTTGATAAATGGCGCGACCCTTGTCCGCGCGAGAAATTCATCGGCTAAGCTACAGGTGGCGGAGAGACTTTAATTCACTTGGTCTTAACCCCCGTTCCCCGCTTTAGCGGAACCGCCCTCGAGATAAGCCCGGTTAACGGTGCCTCGACTCGATCCAGTGAATCTGAAACGACTCCCGGAGAGCACTTTCCTAGAGAAAGCTCGGTCCACCCTCTCCTAACCACCCTATGCCACCAGCCCGAAGCCATTCCCTTCTCACGATTTCTCTTTGCCTTTCATTCCCCGACCTAGTCCAGGCCATAAGCTCGGCAGAACTTCCGCTGGAAATGTTCGTACGTTGCCGCACGAGGCTGTGCCGCGCACCGTTCGCGAGCGTTGTTAAACTGTATATTGCACATTTATCGCAAGTTACGTTTATCACAAAAATTTGTGAACGCGTAAAACGGAAGCGTCGGAAGAATCGCAACGTCTTAACATTCGTAGGGTCCACTTGGACCCAGAGTATAAATAACGTTCCTCGACCATTCAGCTTCTGACAATTAATTTAGTTTTTCGCACGTTTCGCCAAGTTTTATGGAAAACTCGCTCGCTCTTTGATCTCTCGCACGACTCTTCACGCTCTCGCGACTCTTTGCCTCGCTTTTTGATCTCTCACGACTCTTCACGGTGAACACTTCACGCTTTGACGACTCGCAATGGTCTCAACGCTCTGCCCTGCATCTGAAACCGATTTTCTCATGCACGCACTTCTTAAGAGCTATAGTTCATCGAATAGGATTTACTGTATCCTTATTATATCCTTTGGACACCTACAGTTCACGGAATAAATGTAGGTACAGCTTGAGCCAAAATAAGTAAAATACCATCCTCGACTTCGTTGTTAATCGCAAATTTAGCTAAATATTTCTAATAATAATCCGAGCACTGAAAGTACAGTAATTTCTCCCTAATTCGCGCTCAGATTGCACACAAAAGTGGGAGATACGATGATTCGAGCCTTGCGTCCCGTTTTTATAGTTGTTGTTGACAGTCGGTAACTATAAAAAACGAGCCGGAAATTGTCCATTTTTGCGAACTGAGCGCGAATTAGGGACAAAATTACATTACTTTTGGTGCCCGGGATTTTTGGCCGACCTGTAGACGGACGTTCCGTAAAAGCTTTTTCTTTGTGAACAAGAACCCCATAATTAGGAGACGGCCGAGCGCATTGAAAGCCTAATTTCAGCCACTCCGAGCGAAACGTGATGGGAAACAGCGACGGCGATTACCTCTCCGTTGGACAATGACGAAATCGAAAAGTCTGCCGGCTTCGGTGACGCGCCAAATTGAAAGTGTTAATCGAATCCCGATGAAAGGATGATCGCGTGCCGAGCCACCGAATCGAAAAATTAAACTGCTCCGCTTTGAGTATCAGACGCGGATAGCTGGTAAATAGACAACAGGAAATTGCCCTGACTGGCTGGGTGTGAAGGTGCTCTAATCTCTTCTCGGGCGCGCAACGTATCCTCAACAATACGCTGGTACAGCACCAAAGACCAGCTGAATTGTTAGTGACAATCGAGGATTAATTGCTACACGTGCAAGCTTTCCGAACATTTCCGGATTAGCCGATTTATCTTAGAGCGAACAACAGCTAAAATTACGCGGCACTAAGTATAAAAAAAATAGATGTACCTATATTTAGGCAGTTCAGAATTCGATCGGTGTAAGTCCATTTTTCTTCGAAAATGAGGTATGCAGTCCGAACGCATTTTTATTGTAGAATCTTCCGGTCGATAAATCAATATAAGTCGATTTCTTTATATTCTTATATTCTTTATATTCTCTACATTGATCACGGAATGACTAAACAATATTGTTCAAACGGAATTGTTTTTCTAAAAAAGAAAACAATGATTCGTTTCTCTTCCGGTTAAGTTCATTTCTATAACATCTTATAATAAAACTTGCATTTTGCGTTATTAGTGGAATTGTTATCATTTTCATCTGGTTTGCAAAATCCTTATTTATCTCAATTTTAAAGTCAGTGAAAGTAATTACACCGATTGGCTTCCGTCCATTTGTCGTTGAATTTGAAAAGTAAACGTAGCAAAAAGGATAAAGTTATTCCTGAACGCAATAAAAAAATTCAGAATTACGTGAAAGAATTTATCCGTGGCTTAGACTATTTTAAGTATTTTAGCTTGAAAAGAAAGAAACACGCTGTGCACATCAAACAGTAGCAAGCACGTGTCCACAAAATCAAGATAAAGCTTTCTTGTCTTTTTCTTTTCAAAACGTCCCAAAGTAGATCCAAGAGCCTCGAGAATCTATCTTGATTTACGAAAAGAATCCGAGGGGAACCCGCAGTATAATACACGAATACCGCCCACAGGGAAACCGTGTTGCATTAAGGATTCATTGGGTAATTTTTTATCACGATCCTGGCTCGGTTACGTATGGAAATATACAGTTGATTAACGCGGGGCTACGGTTCGTTTCATCATTGTCGGTCATTGTGAAGGTGTTTCTTGTTAAGGTTGCCGTGGAAACCGTGGAGAGCACCCTCCATTATACCTACCCACTAACACCTACGAGCCACCGAATCGTACGTACGCGCCGGTACGCTAGTATCGACGCTATAGTAAGTAGGTCAATATCGAGTAAATCACAGACAGGATCGCGAGGACCTTAACCCACGTGCAGAAAGGATGTTCTTTCGCGGAGCAATTTAAACGACACTGCTCCGCTATTTCTGTTCGTTTATGCTACGCCAGACTCTTCTTCCAAGTCCCCAGGCTCTCCCAATTAGCGAAATATTTCACGGCTTCCTTTATTTCCAACTGGACATCGTGCGGACGAATTTAATGCCACCGAAAAATTGCACGGAGTCAAAGAACTAGACGGTTCTTCAAGATCTCTAGGATATTAGTTAGCAACTTCGTTGGATAATTATATTTGAAATGATATTTCGGGGATGTTTCAGGAGATATTTCACAGTTTCGTTCATTTCTATTCAGACATCGTGTAGATTAATTTCATTCCACTGAATAATTGCACAAAGTCAAAGGATAGACGGTTCTTCAAGGTCTCCAGGCTACTAGTTAGCAACTTCGTCGGATAATTATATTTGGAATGATATTTCGGGGATGTTTCAAGAGATATTACATAGTTTCGTTCATTTCTATTCTATTCTATTATTTCATTTCTATTCTATTATAATTTCATTCCACTGAATAATTGCACGAAGTCAAAGAACTAAACGGTTCTTCAAGATCTCTAGGATATTAGTTAGCAACTTCGTTAGATAATTATATTTGAAATGATATTTCGGGGATGTTTCAGGAGATATTTCACAGTTTCGTTCATTTCTATTCAGACATCGTGTAGATTAATTTCATTCCACTGAATAATTGCACAAAGTCAAAGGATAGACGGTTCTTCAAGATCTCCAAGCTACTAGTTAGGTTCTTCGTCGGATAATTATATTTGGAATGATATCTCATCGATGTTTCAGGAGATGTTTCACAGTTTCGCGCGTTCATTTCTATTCAGACATCGTATAGATTAATTTCATTCCACCAAAACATTGCACAAAGTCAAAGACGGTTCTTCAAGATCTCCAGGCTACAAGTCAGCAACTCAATTATATTTAACTTAACTTAATTATATTTTATACACTGCATGGCGCGCTAATATTTTCTACTACCATTCGAGTTGATCAAATTTTACACACGGACGAAGAACTTCGTCCAAGAATGGACAAGATGGCAAACGCGTGAACTTAAAAGATGGTTTCGTAACTCGCTGGACTTCTCTCTGTGCAACAATAGCTAAATTAATTGTATAAAACGGTCGGACTTTATTCATACAGTCGTCCATTACTCGTACACAAGAACGAACCTCCACCAACTGAATTTTCCAGCTGTTTTAAACAACGTAATCCAATTAAAAAGAAAATCTTTCGCGAACAGCATTAATTGACCGATGTATCTCGTTTTCCAGAGGTGATAAACGACGCAGTGTTCGACGAGGATCACGACGAGATGGTCGTCGTGAAGGACATCGAAATGTTCTCGATGTGCGAGCACCATTTGGTCCCGTTCTACGGAAAAGTCTCGATCGGTTACCTGCCTTGCAAGAAGATCCTTGGGCTCAGCAAATTAGCCAGGTAACGCGAGCCGGAATCTTGTACTTCATTGCACCGGGGACCGGATTGATACTCGCAGGCTCGAGACTGTCGCGCCGGTATAATTAAATCTCGAGACTTCTCGCACACGTTTAAGAAGACCGATATCCTCCTTCAACGGAATGGAAATTAATTGCTCCCAGCTACTCCTCGCCGGGCAATTAAATCCTTTAATTGAACTGCCATCCGCAGCCCATGCTTATTCAATCGGCCGCGTTTGCGTTACACGTGTCTGAAACTTTCTTAGATCTTCTATTGTGCCCTTAGACTCCTTTGTCTCGGCAAAACACTATAATCGATCCCAGTAGTATGATTTTCTTCGCCGCACAATGGGCAATGGTAATTTTCGAGGCGACGAAGCTAGCAAATTTCGAATCGAAGATAGCAATTTTTGAATCCGAGAACAATGTCTGTGCGCAACGGTTTCTCTAATACGAGGGAACAATGGTTACTTTTAGAAAGAAGAACCCAGCGAATCGACTTTCAAGCTAACAATTCTCTAATCGCGTTGCAGTCAACAAAGTCGATAATTTGTGGCATTTATTAAACGAAGTTTCCCTCGAGAAAATTTGTTCACTGTGTAATCGAAACTGTTCCGGCATTTTCTAGGATTCGTTGTTATTCAATTACACCCGCACATTTTCCAAGTTGTTTAGTTACTATGGAAAATTATATTTTCTTCATTTCCAATTTCATTCGCGGTTGTTCATTCAGAAAATCGACGACGCCGAGATAGACAAAATTTTGTTTCTCGGAACGGAACCGGAAACATTTACACAAAAATCGAAAATAAATTCGAAGGAAACTTCGCTGGCCGCCAGCCGCGGTTCGCGCGTGTAGCTAATTAATTTGCGTCAGAATAGAAGTTCAGCATGGCGGCCATGAACCGCGCAAGAGTAGATCGGGCGAAATGAATTTCTGCTCGGTTCCTAATGTTCCGCGACGATGACAGCCAGCGGACAGAAAAGTTCGCCAATGAACGGCCGCTGCTCGGGCGCACAGTCGCTGATATATCGGGTTTCACAACTCCGAGATAACGAATTGCATCGCCGGTGGCCACGGCCTTGATAAAGCGCGAAGAAAAGATATACGGCGGCGCTTGCTGATCGTGGGCACGCCGAGCACTTTCACGCACCGCGCCGTTCGTTTCCAATCGTCGCCCGATCGATCGTAATCGCGATAATAGCCGTCATTAACGTTTCTCATTGTTCGCTTTTCTTTTCAGAATCGTGGAGATCTTCAGCAGGCGTCTTCAGGTCCAAGAACGGCTCACCAAGCAGATCGCCGTGGCGGTGACCAAAGCTGTGCAACCGGCGGGGGTGGCCGTTGTCGTCGAAGGAGTGTAGGTATCTTTGTCCTCGACAGGTTCCTGTCCGTGAATTATGTCGATCAACGCCGAGTTTTAGGGTTGATAACCGATACGAATAATTTCGACTTCTTGAAACATTTACTTTCAAGGAACAGGCACGATTGCGAATTTCTTGTGGGGTAACTGCGAAAACCGTGCGAATGTTTCTTACGTAGAATGATTCTGCAGACTTCCCTGAATGCAACAGTATATTTTTTAATAGCCTTATGGACATTGAAACATGTTTGAATAATGTTCGAACGGAACAAGACTTCTGAGCGGAAACCGACCTTCTTGGACGTTTTCCTTTGAACGATTAAAACAGTGGTCGTTTTCAAGGAAACTAATTAACAAAGTAGCGAGTCTCGCGACGCTATTCTAAAACTCGCATAAGAAGCCATGGCACCGTCTTTTTGAGATTTATCAAAGTTTTTCTTCAGAAATCGCAAATATTCTTTTCATTCGATTTTCACAAATGATTCCGTGATTATGAGAATTTCTTCGGCTGCCGGTTGGTCCTAAGACTCGTTCGAAATTCGTCCAATCGATCGTTCAGTCCAGAAGAGTCGGAAAAAAGAGCGACAAACGATCGCGAACGCGATTTCGCGCCTCCCTCGGTTTCGTTTCAACGCGCTCGCCACTTGAGCAATAGTTTTCGCAAGGACTAATAGCATGTAAGAATGCGACCTTGTGCTAATAAGGTGCTATCTCTCGGCAAAGAATTAAAGTGCATTCTCTTAGCAGGGGGAATGTTGCGTTCTTCAGCCGCGCGCGAGCTCGGGAGCGTTTAATAATTCCAAACGTCCACGGGTTTTGAAACGCGTTAAGCGACAACACGAGGATTACCTGAATTAGTATCAATCATTTCAATTCTACCGAGTATTCTCTGACGTCATCGTTCAGCTATCTGTCATCTTGACCAGTCTTTAATCGTTCGAAGATCTCGTTTCCTACACTGTTTCCTCACATAATCCCTTGCCGTTCAGTTTTCCTCGTAGACACAGTGACTAGCATTATTTCGCCTTTGATCATTTTCTAACGACAAAGAAAATCTACGTTTATTCGATCTCTACAATTATTTCAATACTTAAACACTGATAACCACACACAGACTGTGGATTTTTATGCGAAATTAAAGTTGTCTGAGTTAATTGTACGAAACGAAAGTTAGATGACAATGTCTTGCCTTTTAATAATATTAAGTTGTACATAATATAAACGTATTTACAAATTCTTTTAACTCGGTCATCTTTGTAAAGAATATATATAATCTCGTATTTGGAATTATTAATCTCGGATTATATATATAATAATAATAATAAATAATATATATATATATATATATATATATATATAATATATAATATATAATAAATAATATATATATAATCTCGTATTTGAAATTNTATGAGAATTTCTTCGGCTGCCGGTTGGTCCTAAGACTCGTTCGAAATTCGTCCAATCGATCGTTCAGTCCAGAAGAGTCGGAAAAAAGAGCGACAAACGATCGCGAACGCGATTTCGCGCCTCCCTCGGTTTCGTTTCAACGCGCTCGCCACTTGAGCAATAGTTTTCGCAAGGACTAATAGCATGTAAGAATGCGACCTTGTGCTAATAAGGTGCTATCTCTCGGCAAAGAATTAAAGTGCATTCTCTTAGCAGGGGGAATGTTGCGTTCTTCAGCCGCGCGCGAGCTCGGGAGCGTTTAATAATTCCAAACGTCCACGGGTTTTGAAACGCGTTAAGCGACAACACGAGGATTACCTGAATTAGTATCAATCATTTCAATTCTACCGAGTATTCTCTGACGTCATCGTTCAGCTATCTGTCATCTTGACCAGTCTTTAATCGTTCGAAGATCTCGTTTCCTACACTGTTTCCTCACATAATCCCTTGCCGTTCAGTTTTCCTCGTAGACACAGTGACTAGCATTATTTCGCCTTTGATCATTTTCTAACGACAAAGAAAATCTACGTTTATTCGATCTCTACAATTATTTCAATACTTAAACACTGATAACCACACACAGACTGTGGATTTTTATGCGAAATTAAAGTTGTCTGAGTTAATTGTACGAAACGAAAGTTAGATGACAATGTCTTGCCTTTTAATAATATTAAGTTGTACATAATATAAACGTATTTACAAATTCTTTTAACTCGGTCATCTTTGTAAAGAATATATATAATCTCGTATTTGGAATTATTAATCTCGGATTATATATATAATAATAATAATAAATAATATATATATATATATATATATATATATATATATATATAATATATAATATATAATAAATAATATATATATAATCTCGTATTTGAAATTATACAATAACATTCGCGTCTCTAGAAAGTCCAATTATAATCTGATTAATCAGTGCTGAAAAATGTAAGTTCGTACGAGGACCCAGAATTCGTCGGTAACACTAAATAAGGCTGCGTATTCGCGTATGTTCGCGTACCGGTCGCATATTCGCACAAAATCGTGAATGGCGGAAATACACGTGCGGCTCGTGATCAGAGCTCGTCGATCGCGCGACAGGGCGTGAACGCTATCGTCACCATCGAATGCCATTAATACCATTAATGCCATTAGTATCGTCACCACGATAAATCAAATACCGTAACTGGGCGGCATAATCGTTCTAATCTCCATCTACGAGCGGCTTCGACGTCGAAAAACTGGTTTATCGGGAAAACCTTGCGTCGACGTCAGGAGACCTTGGAACGGTCCCACGACGACGCCTTAAAAATCGCACAAAAATGCGGGGCTCGATAACGCGATCGATTACGTGAACGCCGACGTTAATGCTAATCGTCCTGCTCCCCCTCACCCCCGTAAAGGCACGCGACAATACAGCGCGTACGCGGTGCACATTCTAATCATTTACTCTCGCCGATCTGATAACAGTATCCCCCGGCTTTAGATTCTGGTGGGTAAAAAAATGTTAATAACGCACCATTGTTAACGCGTGGCCGATTAATTGCTACCGATTCTAACGGAGTGACTCGATTACACGTAACTATGCAAATCGTCTGATTATGGAGAGACTATCAATGAGAGGTTTTTCTTTTAATGGCCATGCGTTATTCATGTCTCGTTAATATACGTTAGACAGTCAGTTGATCCGAATGGTACATTAGTTGGTTTAAATGTTGAAGGCAATAAATCTTCTTTTAATTATCTAAATGCTCTAGCGTTGCAACATCAGTCGCGTAAACGTTGAAATTGAAAACTTATTGCTTTATTATGAAAATAGTAATGACTTTAAAATAATATATAAGAACAACGTGTCCTGAGATTTAGAGGTGAATTTATTATGGGATTATTGGGGAGTTTAAAATAAGTATTTGGTTCAGTGGAATTTTTACTCAAGTTAATATAAGAACAATGTATCCTAAGATTTAGATGTGAATTTATTATGGAATTATTGAGGACGCAAAACTGATTTTGAACTGTAGAATAGCGAAGATTTCGGAACGAATAACGAACTGGATGGTCTGTTGCAGGCACATGTGCATGGTAATGAGAGGCGTGCAGAAGATCAACAGCAAAACGGTAACGTCGACGATGCTTGGCGTGTTCCGCGACGACCCGAAGACCCGCGAGGAATTCCTGAACCTGGTCCAGAACAAGTAAAACGCGACCCCGAGCTGTTCTTCACCGACGATGCCGTTACCATTGATCGAGGGACCACGGAACCAAGATGGCCCCGACACGATTCTTGCTCCCGAAACGTTTCGCCCCGCTGCTACCTCAAAAATGCTTCCAAAAGGCAGTCGATCCCGACGGCGTTGCTTACTCGATGGCATTCCCTCGATTGTTCCGTAAGATGAAATATTATCGGACCCGTGTCCACGTTGTTAAACAAAATGGTAAAGCTCTATTAACGATTTTATTCAACGTTCCCAGGACGAGCGGCGAATGTTGGCCGGCGTCGTCCAAAAAACGCGTTCTTAACAGGACGCCCTTAAACTGCTGATCGAATGACACAGAGACAATACGGTAGTTAACTGCGCAAACCTTGCGCGAGTTCGATCGACCACGTTTACGTGGGAAAGTTGCGTGCGTTATTGGAAAATGTCACTTTCCGGCCCGGCGATCGAACTCGCGCATCGTTTCGCGAAATCAGAGCCGATAAACGTGGGATGCTCGAGAACCACTGCGAATCTATAGTAGTTAGACGATGCTTCTTGGAACGAGCAGGCTGCTTCGTGACAAGTGGAATCCTGCGAGCGACAATCGCGGCTTGTATAAATATTTCTTGCGCCCTTGAGTGGTGGCCAGTTTCTTTCTTCATTCAATGACTCTTAACGCGTTAGCTACTGGAAAGCTTTGCAACCCTCGTACGTTCCTCAGACTGAAAATTCACTAATTATTATTGTTCAGACACTGTGTAAAAGGATTCACAGGATGTGCTACTTTAAACTGTGACATTGTAAGTGGAACTACAAGGAACGATTTCTGTTCGATCACTGTCACACGATGCAGAAAATTTGTATTACGTTTAAAGATTTATACAATTTGAGATTGAAAAGCATATCTTTCTTTTCACACTGTGAACGTGGCAGCTTTCTGATTACTTAATATCTATCGTAAGATGTGCTTCTTTGAACTATAACTTTATTAATAGTACAACATTTGATGTATAGTGTAAAGATAAAGTGAATGCAAAGCGAAGTGTCATCCTAGAGTCTCTGATGCCATTTCTGAGGAGCGTACGAGGGTTCAGAGGGTACTCGTTGCAATAATATAATAAGCTGACTTGGAAGCAAAGTTAATGAACAGGAGAACACATTTGCATGACTTTGCTTTGGACGTCTTTCCGTTATCCTGCCATTCTCGCAGCTAGTTCGACCGGTCACCAAGCAGTCTCTGTATCGGCAACGTTATCAGCTGCTGGACCAGCTGTAATGACCGTTTAGATTGTTGTACCTTGTGAATACCTTTGGTAGCGTTGCCAACGTAATACCACAGAAGTAACGAACGCGTCGTTTCGTCGGGCAGCCGCGTTTTCGTCGACGAGACGAAGCAATTAGGAAATTCTACGGTGAGCTTTCTCGACCGGCCACGACTGTACGACCGTCGAAACGCTTTCAGCGAACGGTCTCTTAAAGAAAACACGTATACCAGATTCTATACTCTCCGTTTCTCTGAAAATCATCGTCGCGTCGATGCGTCGGGCTGGTTGCGAACTGCAAACGTATCATGCGGAACGTGTCGCAATGAATCGTGCAACCGAAACGGAGGTTTGGGACACTCTTTTTGCAGAAAGAGAGGTAACGAAATTTTTGTTTCGTGCAGAAGAATCTGCAGTCTAATGTTTCAGTTGTTACTAAATTAATCATTCGAATCTGCGAACGAGAATCTCGCAGAATTTGGAGATATTTTCGTCTACGATCGCGAAAGGTACCTCTTGCTTTCTGCACCGTGCACACGCCGAATTTTCGGTCGCATCTGTTCATTGAGAGACAGTCCGTAGGCCTGCGGAAGCGGATGGTCGTGTTTCTCGTTTGTGAAACGTCCCAGCCATAACGTTTCGCAACAGGGACCATCGAGAGCCATTGTGTTGAAGTTGTTCGTTCCGTTACTTTATCTCTTGCTGTTTGTATCATCTGTTCGAATGATCCGAGCGGAGGAGAGGACAACCGTGTTCGCGACATGTCAGAATGAACGCGCGAGAAATTTTATGGTGAAAGTACGGAGGCGCGATGTTCCAGCCATACATCGCGCGTCCAGAAGCGTTTAACTGTATAAAAGGAAGAAAAGGAACAGAATTATTTATCCTATGTACGCGACCGCGTGCCACAGTTGATTTGATTGTCGTGTAATTTATGTGATTTCCTCGTATCGGCGCTATTGCCGCAACTATATCATTCCACCGAGAACGACGAACGACAAATAACGTACCGTCGAAGCACATCATTTGTTTTTCGAATTGTATTTTTATAGTGACACCGTGGAAGAGATGATCCGAGTACTTAAAGACACTTTAACCGATCGTTTTAACCCTTTCGCGACCCGTTGCTTCCTTTCGGATCGCCAATCCTAATTGAAACGCTGCAATCAACTTTATTTCGTTCTGCTTTGGACAATCGTACGCAATCTATGCGCTATGATTTACTATAAGATTTACAGATTCGCTGATTTACAGATTTACAGATTTACAGATTTACAGATTTACAGAGTCAGAGAGTTACAGATGTACAGGGTCATAGATTTACAATGTTACAGAGTTACAGATTCACAGATTTATACAATCGAGTCGTTGTAAATTTATAAAATGATTTCTGAAGGCAGATCCTCTTTCAATTGAACATTAACGAGGCCATGGAATAAATTTCACTTTCGATCGAAGCACGAATAATGACAATCTGGATCGCAGAGGGTTGAAATTTATTTATTACACCGTGCACCGAATCGCCAGTCAGCCCTTCGAATGATCGCAGATCGACCAAGGAAGATCAACGAATGCTAGATCCGTTCCAAAGTATTATTGTCGAATACCGTCGAATTAATTGCGCATTCATTGAGCTTCCAATCGCGGCGTGGTTCAAGGTGTCACTCGAGAAGGTCCGGAGAATGTTGCGCGACTTTTGGTGCAGCGTTCGATTCTATTTTTCCGACATTCAACAAAACGAAAAGAATATCTTAATGTTATTTATGAGAATGAATGTTTAATATTTATAATATTTTTGTGACAATGTTATATAAAGTTATATTTATACTTTCAGTGTTGTTCGTCAATTTCTGCTTTCCGATGTCGATTTCCATGGAGCCACCCAGTCGATTTCCATGGGTTTTCCCACGAGCTTTCCCAAAAGCGTTTAAAAAACGAAAACGAAACGGTCGCGCGAACGGTTCGCGTTTCCCGGTATCGCGAACTTTTACTTCTTCCGATGGCACGACGTTGCTGACCGCTGCCGAACTCAACGTCACGCGCGACATTTCACCGCGATGACGTACTCCGAGAACGTCGTCGGGATTGCATTTTCACCGGGTTGCATCTGCGACGCACAACCGATGCGTTACAAACGCAGAGAAATACGCGTGCCGTTATCGGAGATCTTGACAAGCTTTTTGCTTTCTGAAACGACAACACGCCCGTTTATCTCGGCGCCAATCTGTGTGCTGTACGGATGTCCTAGTATTTCCTCCGAGGGTTTTTATACATCGTAAATATGCTGCGAGTCATTTGACTGTTAATTTTCATACGTTACATTATAAAAATCTAGAATTCATGGCGAAAGACTTTGCAATAATGCCCGCAACGGCAAGCGCAATCTTAATTATCCCAATAAGTCATTCTCCCAGGAACAGAATCCAACAATTTCTTTCAAGACTATCGTTTACAAAAAGATTCCTAATCGCTAGCTTTACATAGCACAATTGTTGAGGATTCAATTAAACAAAATTCTTATTCTTAAGAATCTTAAGAGAACTAAAATAAGGAAAAATACCTTTCTTCGCCTAGAAGATTCCGCACGTTGCAAAACCAAATAAAAATATAAGCAATCTTTACCTTACAAATGCGCGTATGTCACAGCTGCACAAAAATTCTCAAAATATAATAAGGAAAAATGTCTGTCAACGGTGAAAGATTTCTTACAGCACGAAATCGAGTAAAAATATGAACGATCTCTTTACTTTACAAATTCAGGTACGTCGCGAGTGCATGATGATCTAATAAAATTGCTCTCAGATCTCGGTCTCCGGGAACAGCACTTAAAACGGTCGCGTAAAAAATGCGAGTCCACTAATTACCGGAAGGAGCGACTGCTCTGGCCGAGGTGCTTCCGGTTCCGCGGTGAAACGGTGGATAGTCCTTCGGGAAAGGAGAAAGCGGTGATCAGAACCTCGGGCACGGTGGTATCTCGATCTTCTTCATGACAGGCTGACCGCAGACCCGAGGCGGCGGAGTGTCAGTGACACAGAGGTTTTCTGCGTCGCCTTGATGAAGAAGGAAGATCATGCTGTTGCTGGACGCTGTCTTCCGGTTCCGACCAGCCGAACAACACGGACTGCCACAGGGTCGTTTCGCCGTCATTGGCTCTCGAACGCATTTTCCGCTGACACTTCGTTGAGTGACGCAACCTCTGGACATCCCGTTCGAAGCGACCCTCTTGCACACGGTTGCCTCCCTGATGGTCACAGTGAAACATAGATCAGTCAGGATCGTGGCTTGAAACGATTCCGAAAATCTCGGCTCAAATTGTTGTTCAAAGCGTCAAAAAATTATACGTCGTGGCCACTAAAAAATTGTAGATGGGGACTCACGGTATGGTGACCGCGACATATAATTTCTTGACACCCGGTACAAAGGTTTCAATTTAAAATATTGCGTTTAAAGGACAAGCTTTATTGCAAATAATTATTAGAATTTCTTATCGAAAGTACCAAGTTTCAACTGTACTACTTCGATTATCTGAATTCAAAATTGATAGCTAATTTCTTTTCATTTTAAGTAAATTATTATTATTATTATTATTATTATTACTATTATTATTATTATTATTATTAATAGTGTAAAATGATAGATCGAGGTTTAATCGAAGTACTGCAACAGTTTCATCATTATTACTTGGAATAATCAGAGATCTAAATAAAAAAGATCGAGGAGAATTCAGTTCGGTTAATCGACGTTCAGTTATCATTCTCTCTGATTTCGGTTCCCGTATATGGTTGACCTGAGTCTGAGAAAGATCAAAAGGGGTCAGAAATATCGATGCAGCTCTTTAACTGTTTACAACAATTAAAAGGAAAAATATAGTTTAGCCCCTGTCTCGCTATCGACAAAGACACTTTTTATCTTGCACAGAGACCAAACAGTCTGTTCGCAACTCCGTTTCACCAAGGTCTGATCAGGATGGACCTTGTCCCGAAATCGATCAACGAAATTGACGACCAAGCTTGGCGTCCAATTTATTTTTTTCCGGACGCTGTAAATCGACTTCGACGTGGTCCCATTGACCTCGGCTTAGAGCACAGAGCTGGCCAGTCGCAAGAGGTGAAATTTTGAAAGGCTAATCGAAAGAGCCAAGGTGCGGCGAGCGAGGTCTCGTGCCAGTTAGCCGGCGATTTGCAGAAGCTACATATTACACACTGTTCTGAACTCCGAAAAGGTGACTCATTGATATCTTCAGGCAATGGAGCGAAGAAATTGCGTATCGGTTGTCGTAACGAAAATACATACACATTATCGATTGCACGACCGATCGGCTGCAATAAAAAAAAAAAAAAAAAAACACTGGAAGAAAGAGAAGCCGATATTGTTACGAAATTTCTGATGAAATACGTTCCGTGGAGTTTAACTACTTCGCGATTTCGCACGATTTTTGGCATTGAACGGAGAGACACAATTAAATGACACACACACACGCACAATGTAACCGAATACTTTTGGCCTTCAGGCATAGATACAAAAATTGAGAATTAAGAAAAATTATTAACAGAATTTTTTACGGACAGGAGAACTATCGAACGATTTTTTTAGCCAACTTCTTCATTGAAGATTCGATCTGTTTAAATGCAATTTTGTTCTCTTAAATGCAATTTAAGTTCTTTTCTTTCTCTTTCGTTCTCTTAAATGCAATTTACGTTTCGACAAGTGATCCAGAGTAAACGAACGACCGAAGTTAGCTGAAAATATTTGTGTACACTCTATGAAAGTTAAACATTGACAACGATAAGCACCGAGACGATTTACTTGCATTGCTCGTCTAACAAAAATTCCTGAAAATGCTCTCCAGACTTCAGCAGTGTTCCCATTTTTTGACTACTTTTCAAAATTCATTTTTATTGTAACATATTCGAACAAACTGAATATCGTTTAGACTGCGAGAGAGCTAAAATAGCTACTATATTTTCTACGCTGAATTTTAACCATCAAGTATTAGTTTGATTACTTAAATTACTTTGCTTTTGTGGCAATTTTACTTCACGTGTTAACAACTAGATAAAGGAAGGAATATTTGTACGAACACATTGCCAGGGGGACAAGGGCTGCAAGGGGTGCAACACGGGATCGGCGGAGACCTCAAAACCCTCAAGGCTTCGACGTTCAAACAGGAAACGCCTCGCAAAAGCGCTCTTTGTATCGCGTTTTCGTATTCTGCGCGTTCTCTGATGATACGCTGGTTCTCCCTCTTCAGCCGCGTTATTTCCGCTTCCAGCTGCTCAACATAGTGACTCGAAATGAATATTTTCACGCTACAGAGAACATTATCCGATCGTACCTCGAGCTCTCGTCTCATTCTGTCCTTGTCCTTCATGATCGATTGAATGGCCGCGTCGGTGCAAACGATCTCCACAGTTTGCATCGGCGGCGGCGGCGGCGGCGGTTCGACACTTCGTTGCTCGGCAATTACCTCAGCCTTGGAATCTTGTATCACAGGCTCTTCTTCAATTTCCTTCTATAGTTAAATTATTATGCGTCAGAATTTTTCAGACACCTATTCGCAATATCTTGGTAACATTCGAAAATTACGAAGAGCATGCCTAATAAAAACGCAACTTTCGATTTGATGCTCATCGCGCGGTTTAAAATGGTGAAAACAGCCGTCGAAAAAATACGTTCTTCTTCGCGAGATATCTCGAAAATAGCAGACGATGTTTAAAAAAGTTTCAACAAAAATTGAATCGTTTTACCGTGTCGCGTGAAGTATTGTTTTAAATTGTATTTGAAATTCAAACTAAAGTTTAATTATATATAAAGTTATATATAATAATATAATATATAATAAATAATATATATATATATATATAAAGTTATATATAATAATATTATATAAAGTTATATATAAAGTTTAATTATATGTATTAACTAAAGTTTAATTAAACCTTCAAAATAATTTTCGTGCGGAGATTCATAATTTTTGGAATTTATGGGAGCGCGAGGGAAACATTTGCAACCACGATCGCTAGACTACGGATCTTCATGCGAAATAAGGATCTTTCGCGTCGACCGTGAGAAACACGAGCTGAACGTAATTCTCTTTCGCTTTTATAGGTTCGGCGAATCCGTCGACGGTATCAAATTCCATCTGCTAGTGAATGCACAAAGTCCGCAGTCTAATTATTGTGTTCGCGCAAGGTAGAATAATTTTTAGCCAAAGGTATATGTATGTAGTAACAAAATCTCCGGCTGCACCTCTTGCACCTCTGGTTCCACCACCGTCTCTTTGTGCTCCGCATGGCGTTCCGCGTCGCGTTCCGCCTCGCATTCCGCCAACTTCTTCTTCAGATTCTCGATCTCGCAAAGCCGCGCCATCAGCTCCCTGCGCATTTTTTCGAGCGCCTTCTTGCAGTCCTCCAACTTCTTCTCAACTATAGCCGTCCATTGTTGAATCCGACCGAGTATGTCGACGAACATCAGCTTTTACGAGAAGAACGCCAATCCCGGGAGAACGGACGATCCGGGGGCAAACAATAACGAATTAGAATCCCGTTCGCCGGGACAAATGAATCGGAAATGCAAGGAGTTCGTTTAGAATGTTAGATCGCGTCAAATCGGAGAGCGTCGCTTTCTCGACTGCGGATTTTATGCATTTATTACGAAAATTGATACGATAAATCGTCAGAAAGAGACTCGCGCTGCTTGAAATTCACGCGGAAAGATCTTATTTTGCATAAAGATCAGCTGTCTAGATCTCAGGGTCGAGACTTCCACGAAAATCGGCGCGGTATTTCGACGATTTCATTTAAAAAAGATGATGGTCGAAAACGAAATAGTCACTTGAACCAGGTCAACGAATCTAACACCACGAGCTACAGTATACAAGCAACTTTATAAAGCGTCTTTCGTCGTTGTGCCATCTCTGAAACACTCCCCCAAGTCTTTCCAATTTTATCATGGTTCTACTTGCGTGCAAAAGCAATTTAACCTTTGAATCGTGTTCAAAGTTCTCGCCTAAGGTGGCCAATGCTTTACCGGCTTCTTGCAAGTTCTCCTGCACGAAGTCGATCATTTCGTCCATCTTCTTGTCTCTGGTTATTCATTATCAATAATTATTAAATTATTAACGATCAAATATTATTATTATTAACACTTTGGCTGTCGCGTTAACTTCGCGTAGGTCGCGGGATCATTTTCACGGACTCGAAAGTTAATTTCTACGCTAATCTGTTAGATCTTCCTAGTCTTATTAGGATCTGCAAAACGTAAGAATGTTGAGCAGGTAATTGACGGTGTCATACGACTTATAATTTTTCGACTTTAACTCGATTAGTTAAGGCGCGTCAATTCGACGAAATCTTTTGTGTTGTTGGCGCGACGGTCAACGCGTTAAGGGAAATCTCTGGATCCTCTCCATTCGTAAAAAACGATGAACCTCTTACCCAACGGACCCTGGCACCTGTGCGATACAAGTGCAGCACGGTCCGCCCGTGGTCGCGGGTTTCGCAGCTTGCGAAGCGACGGACTCTCCTCTGCTCTCCACAGTGGTCACCAATTCTGAAACTTTGTCCTCCGACACGCTCGACGTTTCTTCCGCAGGTTCCGATATGTCCGCGCCACCCATTAATCGAGCTACGATTTCCATGTTCGACAAGGATTTACGTCCCGTACCGCTGGCCGACCGCTTACATTTCAGCATTTTGGATGGTTTCCGGTTCACGTCGACCGCTGCAAGTGATCGGTTAATTACAGTGAATCGGACGTTTAATAACCGCGTTCGTCCGGCTGATCGCAGGCACAACGATCTTACCGGTTCTGGACGTGTTCAATGAGCGTGACATTTTGATTCAACGCCAATGTATCAGGATCATAATGAAATGTGTGTCCCGAAACGGCCGACTCCGTTTGGTTAATTTACACGTGATTTTGAGGGATCATTTTAACAGGTTTGCGTGAAACTGCGGACGTTGAACGTTGCGGTAATTGTCAGTTGTTTTATGGCTTTTGGAAATTGGTGAACTATAATACAGCACGATATAGGAGAATGGTAATTGTGCTTTCTTCTTTATTGTAACTGTTTTATTATATTGTATTATTATATATTGTATTATATATTATTATAATATATATTAAATAATTATTATATTATTATTTATTATTTATTATATATATATTATTATATTATTATTATTTATTATATATATTATATTACATATTATATATTTATTATATATTATATATTATGTATTAAACTGTTGATTTAAGATTCGATTTTTAATTTACCATCCTAATTAGTTTCAAGTTGCAATGTTCCTGTATTAAAGTACATTCGCGCAGCTTTATTTTGAGCCCTTTAAAGTTCGTTAATTTCTACGAGAATATATTCTAAAATCGATTCGGTGCAGTCCTTTGAGATCGAGACATTTTCCACCGAGTCAGCGATCGGAATTTATTAATTTTTTCGGCAAGATTTCGAATTCTATTTTATTTGTATAATTGGAAAACGTAGAGGAGATTCCTAGCAACGGATCTATACCCACTTTTCATATAATCGCGTAGTAATTAATTATTTATAAACAATTTTTCATTTCGTGTTTCAATATCGAATACCAGAACAGATATTTCGTGCCGCTTTTCCTATAAGAGTCAATGCAAAGTCCGGCAAGAATCAATTGCTGTTTAAACGATAGCGACGCCTCTTGTGGAGAAAGCTGGAAGCTCTACTTCGGTTCGCGTGACTTCACGGATTCAGCAGGTTGATATCTGCTGTACAGATTTCGTTGCATAAATGGTATTATCTAGAGATGTGTAGCTGCTTGATAAATATGAGATGGACCCACCGGCGTTTTCTGTTATTAGGAATGAAAAAGAAACTCAATTCAAATAGAAATATTCACCGGATCGAGAAACGCAGTGAGATTTTCTTATAACTTTTGTACCGTTGCAGGTATTGTAATGGAATTTTCACTAACAATATTTAGAAACTAATCATTTTTAACTTTTATTGATATTTTTGATGAATATGGAAAATAAATCTTGAAAACAGTTTTTGATTTAATTGTTCATATTTGTATTAAAGTATGGAAACATCCATGTCTAGCAGTCTAACATCCATATAGAAGTGGATTACCTAATATAAATATGTATATACTTCGAAAGTGTTCCTTTATTGCGTGTTGTGTTAGTTAATTTTGTTTAAACGTTAGATAGTGAAACAAACAAGAGAGTTTTTTTTCCATTAGGAAAAGAAATTCTTATAATCATTAAACAATTAGAGAAACCATTAAACAATTAAGAAATTTATCAGTAGAACATTTGCGATGTAAAAGATTCTTCGACACATTCGTGGTTTTAAAATCACTGTGCATGTTTGACGTTATTAATTATTTGCATTACGAAATGATACGACGAAATAGCCACGGGATTATTTAATAATATCATTTTCAATAAGGATTCTCGTTAATATTAAACATCGAAAAACAATCGATTTATCAACGAAGCTCGTCTGCTGCAACAATTTCTCGAATCATTCGTGCTCGTAATATTACTCCATGTGTCCGATTCTATCGATTATTTTCACTAACAAATTAAATGGCAAAATAGCCAGTAAGGTGCTTGACCAAACTTCTAACAAACAGAATTGTTATAAATATTAAGAGTCGAGAAATAGTAAATTTATTAACAAAGGAAATTCGATTTAATAACTCACCGATCGATTTATACAAATCTCTTGTTAATTAAACCTCGTTGGTACTTTTCATGAGCAATTTAAGTGATGAAATAATTTTTCGGGCACCGGATAGCATTATTGCAAAATAAATTACCGCAAATATTAAATCATTGGAAATNAATTTTTCGGGCACCGGATAGCATTATAGCAAAATAAATTATCGCGAATATTAAATAATCGGAAATATCCAAAATAATCGGAATTATTGAAATTATCGATCGCCGTTGATCGCGCGATCGTCGATCGTCAAAGTCAGGGGGGTATACAAAGTGGGGGGATACTTCGTGCTCGCTCGGCTCAAAGTCATTGCCTAATTAGTCGGAACTTGTCTAATGTGGGAATCAGTCGTGTTTCAAGAAAGCTCTTCCAAAAGTGCTATTATAATAAATTAAATTGTTAAGAATTAAGATATAATATAATTTTAAAGGAAAATTAGTGCGTGAAATTATAATAAATTAAATTATTAAGAATTAAGATGTAATATAATTTTAAAGGAAAATGAAACTTTAATAACTCATCGACCGATTTGTGCAACCGTTGTTCTCTTGTTAATTAAACCTCGTTGATACTTTTCACGAACAATTTAAGTGATGAAATAATCTCTCGGGCACCGGATAGTACTATTGCAAAATAAATTACCGCAAATCTTAAATCATTGGAAATAATCGAAATTATCAATATTATCGATCGCCGTCGATCGCGCGATCGTCGATCGTCAAAGTCAGTGGGG